GAGATAGCTGGCTGTAATTTTGACAGTTCAGCAGCAATGGTTGTATAAAAACATGGAGTTGCAACAAATCATTGATCAGATTTATATAACCAACATGGACACATCTGTCATTGAATCCATTCCCAGCACTTACGCACGGACAATTATCAAAAACTGTTGTATGCAAATTTGTTTACCTGATTGTCCCTACATTTTGATAGCGGAAAGGGAAAATACTACAATTAGTTTGTTTGTATTAATATACATGTATTATCATGTTTAATATGATGATGTTTTTGTATATTGTTTAAAATATATCATTACAGTGCTGACTGGCAATGACTTTTAATTTCTATGTCGTGTGTTATTTTTGCAGTTGTGACCGGCGGCGAAGGGACCATGACCATTACCATGACTACCAGGACAACAGCTACAGGGACCGATCCTACACGCCCCAGAGAGATCGCTGGGATAACCAGAAACACAGCCGCAGTCGCATCAGTCGCCACTACGATGAGTCGGATAATGGTAGCCACTACCAATCCCGTGACAGCAGTCGCCACAGTCGAAACCGGTATCAACGGCGCCGCAGAAGGCGGAGCTATCGTCACCACAGGCATACAACGTTCAGTTCTGACACAAGCAAGGTAGGAGTTGTTCTATACATGTGTAGGCCTATACCATACCATAGCATAGACTGAGTTAGGCTTTCACGCCACAGTTACTTCCCCTTGACCATGTACAACTCATGAAACTTTGTCACTCCTAATTCCAACAATTTGTAACAAAAATTTGATACAATACTGGCTTTCAGATAATTTAACATGTAAATATTTTGTTATTTTTTTGATGACCTGTGCTTGAAAATTATGTGCAGTGTGGACTTGTCAAGAGGAGGTAACTGGTGATGTGACATTTATAGATAATAGTCCCTTTAAGGATGTCCTTATTTCTAATCCCCGATAAGACACAAGACAAAGCATTAATCTCAGGGTTGTAAGATATGATAAGGCTCAGTTATTTTTTGATATATCATTTATATAGCAGCATTTGCAAGTTTCTCTTCAAAAAATAAAAGGTCAGTTCTTTGATCTATCATTTTTTAGTGACAAGACCAAGGGTTTATATTGTTAAATTGTCAATATATATAAAAGATAAAGATTCAAAGCTTCATCAGTTCAGTTTACTTAGTAAGGAGTTCATTCTTCATTTAAAACAATTTGTAGCGGTAAATTTTGTTACGAATTCAGTTTTTCTTTTGTAAATCTGGGTTGGTTATAGATCACAATGGTCAGTGTCAGCTTTATACCAGTAGTAGGAAGTAGTGAGGGTGTGATAAACAAGTGAAACATAAACAACAAGTTAACAGAGAAAAGACGCCAAAACATCGTTAGTTTCCCCTCAATTTCCTCGGTGATAGTCATGACCCCGTCCCCTTCACATGTGCATGTTTTCCTTGTGTGTTACTTTTGACAGCTAGAACCAAGAGGTAAGTCAAACATGTACTTGTGTAAAAATGTCAAATAGAAAGGCTTAGCATTGAGTGACAAAAAAGTCAATGATGAGTTGGCTGCTCTTTGATTGATTTCGGTAGGAGTAGCAGGTAACTAACAAAGCGTGCTACTATAAGATATCTAAGATTGTAAGTACATTTGTATGTAGGCATTTCTGTTGATATGTGTGATATAAATCAAGTTTTCGGGATGGGAGAGTACATTGTCAGGCAGTGCCAGTGCACCGAGCATACTCTCATATGGGAGAACTGTCAGTTGATCGTACATAAACAAGGAAATTGGCTAAAGCATACAGATGTTAATTGATAAAAGTATTGGCAATTTTTTTTTTTATTAATTTATTGATAAAAGAGAATTGGCTAAAAATATACAGATGTTGATTGATAAAAGAGAATTGGTTAAAAATATACAGATATTGATAAAAGAGAATTGGCTAAAAATATACAGATATTAATTGATCAAAGAGAATTGGCTAAAAAAATACAGATTTTGATTGATAAAAGAGAAATCAGCTAAAAATATACAGATGTTGATAATACAGATAGTTATTGATAAAAGATTAACTTCGCTTAAATGTACCAAAACTGATTAATAAAAGAGAAATTGGCTTAAAACATAATGGTGTTGATTGATAAAAAATAAATTGGCTAAAAATATACATATGTTGATTGATAAAAGTAAAATTGACTAAAAATATACAGATACCGTTTGATAAAAAAGACATTTGCTAAATTGGCAAACATATATTTATTTATTAGGAAAAAAGGATGATGTCTGAACATTACAAATGTTGATAACTAAAAGAGAAATTGGCAAAATATAAACAAATTGGCAAGAGTTTATTGATGTATCAGATAAAAAAAGTGACAGCTAAAACATACAGATGTTGATTGATCAAACAGAAATTGGCAAACTATGTACTGATGTAAGGTAAACAAATTGCCTTAAAATAGACAGGTGTATCATGTAACTGAAATTTACTAAATTATACTGATGTTTATTAATAAAAAAATGCCTTATTTATCATTAATTCATTATATTGACTGATGTAAGATAAACAAAATGGCTAGTATATATCAGATAAAGAAATTGGCAAACTATGTACTGATGTAAGATAAACAAATTGCCTTAAAATAGACAGGTATATCATGTAACTGAAATTTACTAAATTATACTGATGTTTATTATTAAAAAATTGCCTTATTATCATTAATTCATTATATTGACTGATGTAAGATAAACAAAATGGCTAGTATATATCAGATAAAGAAATTGGCAAAATATATGCTAATGATGATTAATAAGAAATGATTTAATATAAACTGATGTTAGATAAACAAAGAAATTGGCCAGAATATACCAGATAAAAGAAATAGGCCAGAATGTCGCAGATAAAAGAAATTGGCAGATTATATGCTAATGTTGATATTTAAAAAATGGTTTAATTTATACTGATGTTAGATAAACAATGAAATTGGCTAGAATACCTGATATATCAAATAAAAGTTAACGGGTAAAAAATATGCTGATGTACTTTGATGAAAAAAATTGTTGAACTCAATCTTATTAATTGATTCACAAGAAATCGGCAAATCTTCTGTTGTTGTTTGTTTGATAAGAATTTTAAAAGCTAATGTTGTTTGAAACACAATGGCTTATTTCATATTAATACACTCTGATAACTTTAGTAAACAATATTGGCTATCAATTTATCCAATTCATTTCCAATGATTTACAATGAATTTGGATAAATTGATGACCAAGGATCGATAACAAACTATAAAACACATTTTGGAATCCTCATCTAAATATGTAATTAAGTTATGAATTCTGAGGTAGTCGAGTCTATGAGAAGATCTGATCATACATAGGATATCCCTATATATCAAATACTTGGTTCATCTTAGATATTTCTGTAGTTTTGATGTTATATGTTGAGGTTCTACTTCCATTTTTCCCACAGATTTTATAAATAATTATGTTTAACTTGATATAAAAAGAAATAAACCTATTGACGAAACAAAAACTAGTAAATTGAGAATTGCGCTTACATTGATATAAAATGAAATTCACCATTTGATGAAATAAAATATTCTGTTTATAGAGAATAACGTTTACATTAAGGTAAAATGAAATACACCATTTGATGAAATAAAATATTCTGTTTATAGAGAATAACATTTACATTAAGGTAAAATGAAATACACCAATTAATGAAATAAAACATATAACAAAGAATCATGTTTACATTGGTATAAAATGAAATAAACCAAATTATGAAACAAAAATGTGTTTATAGAGAATCATGTTTACAGGTAAAATGAAATAGATCAATTGATGAAATAAAAGCATGTTAATTACGTTGACATTGATATAAAATGAAATAAGCCAATTGATGAAACAAAACGTGTTAATAGAGGTCATGTGAAATTTGCCTACAATAGCAAGCATCAAGATAGCTGAATATCCGTTTGGGATGGAAGTTTTATGTGTCTCTTTCAGTTGCGTAATTATCTGTGATACGAATACCCTGAATATTTAATGACCCTGACAAATGGATGACAATCTGTCGTTACACTTTTTAGGCCAAAAATGGAGCCAATTGATACACGACATCCTGTGATTACTGTGTGCCGGACCTTTTATTGATTTTTTGTGCCTGGCAGACTAGCAGTTTAGACGGCTAAATAATATCTCCCCGGTTAAGCTTAGGGTTGTCGCACACGTGTGCTCCATCCCATCTTCCAAAAACTTCATTAGTTTTCACTTCAAGAGATCAATAGACTAAAGAATGAGCTGCCAAGGTTGTACAGAGCAGGTCGTCGGGTTCATCTTTCATGTATTTTTGACGATTCTAATTCAAGTCTGTGCCAATTACGTCCTGGAAATAACGCAGGACTACTGAGACTCGGTGGAAATCTTTAGAACTGTCCCATTGTCTGGACTGTTAGCAGCTCCAGGGAAGAGTTGCTATTGTGCTTATAGAAAGCAGACATGCTGACCAAGAGTTTTGTTGGGAACAGAAAACTAAATTTCAAATATTGACCAATAGACAATTACTGGTACTTGCTAATTTAAGGCATGTGCATGAATGTTTGGATTATAATTATTTGTGAACTGGGAACTTATTGTGAATGATGAGATTGTCCTTCCTAGTTAAGCCTGGAATACTACATTGAAAGTACTATGAACTAGGAAATTACTGATGTGTGGTTCCCCGTTAACTGGGAGACAATGTAATTTTGGAACGAGAAACTGCTATGAACTCGGAGACTGAACCGACTTTGTGAACTAAGAAACTAACATGAACACTAAATTGTGAACTAGAAGACGGCTATGAATGACCACATGTCAGCTGTTATACTTAAGTTGTGAACTAGAAGACGGCTATTAACGACCACATGTCAGGTTGTAACACTAAATTGTGAACTAGAAGACGGCCATGAACGACCACATGTCAGCTGTTATACTGAAGGGGTGAACTAGAAGACGGCTATGAACGACCACATGTCAGGTTGTAACACTAAATTGTGTACTAGAAGACGGCTATGAACGACCACATGTCAGCTGTTATACTTAAATTGTGAACTAGACGACAGCTATGAACGACCACATGTCAGCTGTTATCCTTAAGTTGTGAACTAGAAGACGGCTATGAAAGACCACATGTCAGCTGTTATACTTAAGTTGTGTACTAGAAGACGGCTATGAACGACCACATGTCAGGTTGTAACACTAAATTGTGAACTAGAAGACGGCCATGAACGACCACATGTCAGCTGTTATACGTAAGTTGTGAACTAGAAGACGGCTATGAACAACCACATGTCAGCTGTTATACTTAAGTTGTGTACTAGAAGACGGCTATGAACGACCACATGCCAGGTTGTAACACTAAATTGTGAACTAGAAGACGGCTATGAACGACCACATGTCAGCTGTTATACTTAAGTTGTGAAATGGACTTGAAGTTCAAGTCATGGAAACGTGCAAATATAACAAACCTTTTTCTTGTTGTTCTTCATGCTCTTGGTGAGGTTGTCATTCTACGTGGTCCTAAAGGGGTATTTTAGTTGTGGGTGGATAGTTGTGTATTTCAGTTGTGAAATGGAAGTCTTTATTGGGGGGAAGGTATTGGTTTATAGTGGGTGATCAGGTTTATGGAGGTATATACCTGTATATAAGTATGGTTGTCAATAGAAACAGTGTAACTAAGTATTTAAATGTTGGAGAGAATATTTTTTCTACATGAAGGTTATGAATAAATGTGAGGAGTGATATTTGATTACTGATTCAGTATGCTATTTTGATAGAAATTCATCATTTATCTGTGGCAAGATTTGCAAGGACAAATATTTCATAAATAGATGTAGGATGTATATATGAAGGTCAAGATAAAAGACTGAAATCTGAAAGTGGACATGACAATTGTTAGGGTTTTGGAAGTCAAAGTGATAATTGCAAAATTAAAATTTATTAGGTCAAGGTGAGAATTGTTCGGAAGAATTCTGAAAGATCGAAAGTGTAACTGGGGTACATTTCTCAAAGGTCGGAGTTTAACTGGGGTACATTTCTCAAAGGTTGAAGTGTAACTGGGGTACATTTCTCAAAGGTCGAAGTGTAACTGGGGTACATTTCTCAAAGGTCGAAGTGTAACTGGGGTACATTTTACTTCAGGCACAATATACAACACACGATGGATTTGGACTGATTTAACATGGAATCATTTTACTGAATGTGAAACTTTTCAATTTCATCTGTGGGCACAGAACAGCATATAATTTGCAAAATCTGCCATTATTTGGAGTGCAATATGGGAGTTTTACCAGGCAGAACAAATTAAATAAAATTTTGGACAAGCTTGACGAATGGCAGATAAGAAATTGGTAGAATTCTGATGTTGACAAATTGCCCAGAGATTCAATCAATAACGTGAATGAGTTCTATCAATGTATCGACTCCTCGACATGAAGACTACATCTTTTTAGGGGAATGGATGAAAAACCCAGTTATTTTTGAAAACCATCAACTGCAAGGAATTTCTGCACATGACAAAGTGCTAGACTAATTATGTTAGCCCAGGAAAAAGTTGGAAATAATTTCAGTATATTCAAAGAAACCTCCATTCCAAGTGTGTCAACAGAATTTCATTTGCAGAGAAGAGTAATTTAATAAACTTGACAGAGTTTCGGTGTGTAGAAAAACAGAGAAAGAAAATGGAGTGGAAGCCACTGCCGAGTAACAGAACTGTGATGTGCCGTGATGATAATAGAAAAGAAAGCTGGTGATGACGTAGAATTGACTTGGAGAATTTCTGAGTAGACTGGTTTTTTTTGGCGAAGAGTCGTCAAGTCTCGATGATTAGTGTTATGAAATAACAAAAACATTCTCACATTTGAAGAGAAAGAGGCGGACAGTCTAGTGTTTTATTTACGATTTGTTGTAGACATTGTACATGGATAAGGAAGGAAATTACAGTTGTTAGAGGATGATAGACCAATGTTATTAATTGAAGTTAACATCTTACGCATATGAATAGAGGGAGTGATGATGTACAAGTTTGTGGGCGGGGAATGAGTTGGGAACCTTACACATCAACATGTGTAATACCAGTCACTGTTACTGATCAATGGACAGACTATGTAGGTACTTACAGGGGCCAATCACTTGTCTTCATCTCTGTGTTTACACACTTAGCGTTATTGTAAGTCATTGTGTGGGTTGCCATGGTTTTGCGTTTTTTTATGTGGTAGGGACGCATTCTCTTCGTTAACTCGGTGGAGGAAGCGTGATTCTACTGTAGAAATATGTGGCAGTGATTGTATACTTGATATGTTTCTTTACTGCGTTCTAACTTATGGAGTTTCACCAGAAATAATTTTTGGATTATGAGATAACTATAAACATTTCAGCATATTTACTTGATGATTCTGTATAGATTTTAATGTTACATAACAGTAAATAGCTGTTCTTCCTTTCCACTGAAATCTCTAATAATTCAGTTTTATGAATATTTTGTAATGTTCATACAATCACATAATTTTGAAGGATTTTTTTTCTCCCAAACCTTTAAGCTAAAACGATATTTTCAAATAAGGTAAAGAAGATATGGTGATTAAAATATTGAATTACTTTATGGCCATAGCAATATAAGAAATAACGTCGGTTTAATGTTTCTAATTTTACCAAAGATTTGTCCTCTCAAAAGGTCTACTTCCTCACAATCAATTTAGACTTGTGGAAGTGCCTTTATCTTCCATTCACAATTTTATTTCAAAATTCTAATTAGACCAGTACCACACTCAGTATTATTGAAGGTCTCTTGACCACACTTTGGGTGTTTCAGATAACATGAGATGACTTGGTCAGTTAGTTTAAAAGTTTTGGATGTTGTGTGTCGATGAACACTGGTAATACAACATTTAGGCAAAATTCTTTGGGTATGTTTTGAGCAGGAATCAAAATATCCACTGCCAATGAATTGAAATATGAGATATCCTTATTCTTAAAACTTTGTAGACTCCCCTATCTGTAGTGTTTACCGAGTTTAGATGTTTAATAGTCATTCTTCAACCTCATAGTATCCCTTTCTATCACATATAATCCTTATATCTGAGTGGAGAAAATCTACCCCAATTGACACCCCAGTCAAAGTGAGATGATGAGATAGAGGATGAAACCCCCTCTGTCTTCACTGCTCGGTGGAGTTTGATTTGGGATTCCGCCCTATCCTTCCCCTCCCTGTGCTAGGATTACAGTGTTCGCCAGAGATCATATGTGCATGTTTCATAGGTAACAGCCATTTGGAGCTGGTCCAGGGGGGGTCCTTGGGGGAACTAAGACAGGTATCCTAGAGAGCTGTCAGGTTTACGGGGTTCTCCAAGGGGGGCATTGATACATGCATTAAATGTAGTATTCTGAACCTTTCTGAAGATATTTTTTGTGATTTGAAGTTCATGAAAAGTTCGAAGTATGAATATATAATTATGTAATGGAATTGAAGAAAGTTATTTGTGCAAGACAAAAAAGTGAAATCCATTCTATTGAATACATTTCTGTTTTACATCAACAATTTCAGAAACAATAATTAGAATCGTCTGTGTGATGAAAATAACACCAAAATAGGGAATGAAAGTCTCACAAAGTTGAATATTTAACATTGCATACTCATAAGACACTGATGAAGCACAACTGTAATGATAGTTCCTCTTATGTGAGATCATATAAAATGTACAAGAGCTTAGGATCAGATGGTAATCATTATATGTGAGCAGGATCTACAGAAGTTTGTACCAAGTGATAACAGAGATGTAGAGGTCTGTGGTGGCCCTGATCAATATGGAGGTTATATAACTTGTGGTGTTTTGAAACTATACCCTTGCCTTGCCCAGCCTGTTCTGATGCATGTAATTGGTACCAGGGGGTGTTAATGACCCCCTAGGAGTCCCCTACTGACCTCCCCCCCCCCTGACACCCCCTGGGGACCCTCTGGGGAACCCCTGACAACCAGTAGCTGATGATGCTGAAGTGGTGCAGAGATAGGGAGTGTGCTATTTATAGCCTGGGATGGTGAGGAGTCTGTGTTGTACTGTGTTGGGAGGAGGATTACATACTTTTACCTTGCTGGGGCCAACATCCTCCCACTGAACACAGTGAGGGCTACTGTCACCCTGTATCACCCTTCTACAAGACATTTCGGATATAACTTTCTGCCAGTGACTTTGGTACTTTCTACCTGTTTCTCCAGAAGTTTCTACAACTTTTGTGGAGTTTGAGCAGCCCTGACTGTTTCGTGTGCTTGGGAGTGTAAACCCTCCTCCCCTGTATATATATTTGTGTGTGTGTATGGCCTACCAGCCTGCCTGTAAAACCTCTTGAACCTATTTACGGTACAGCAGTAACATACAGCAGTAACATCGACTCCAGCATCACTGGGAACTTGTCCTCAGTTTTGTACTGGCCCAGTTGGATTTAGTTGGACGTGTGAACTGGGATTAACAGTCCTCTGTAGATCTCTGGTGTTCCAACTCGACCCGAGTGGAATAATTCAACTGTGTCTGCTCCCCTTGTTAACCACAGCATTGTTTAGAATATTTCTCCTAATTTTTTTTTTACTTTTTCTAAATTTGCGAGTAAGAACCGGAAATAGTTGGAATATTTTGTTGTGGTAAGAATTTGCTTGTGTGAGGATTAAGAAGAGTGGAATCGTTGGAGGTTTTAGCTGTGATAGAACTGATGGTGTGTCTGAGATGCGAGTGGATGCCCTTAATCAGACAGGTATAAGGGAATGGGCCGCTATGCCTACCACACAAACCCTGTCAGGAGCGTCCAGTTCGTCTGGCCTCAATGGGTCCGTGACCAATAACAAGTTTGGCTATAGTAACTGCAAACAGGACAATGACTATCAGAATATCGCGGTAAGTCGGTGCTGTATTGTAGGCATACACCCAAAATAATTTGTTTTATAAATTAAAAAAATGACATCTTTGGACCAATCAGTCTGTTCCAGGATGAGTTAACTCCCTTTAGTAGATTCTTGTCTTATCCATCATGTCTCCTCATTGGTTATTGGTTTTTATAGATCAGTCAAACTTTGTCGTCTTTGCTTTAGGTTGAATTGACCTATTACAATTCTTTTTATTGAAGGATAAAATATCAACACTGTCAACCCCCCAGGATACATACTACATTTTAACACTACATATTGAAGAAATTCTTAAGACATAATGCAATTTTCATCCAAGGTTTTTCATCATTGGTCATAACTGATTGGTCGAAATATGTAACATAAAGAACAAACTTATAAATGAACAACAATTTGTGGTAAGTGACCTGCTGAGCATATCTTATATTTTAATGACCATAGCTGTTAGGACGTTAAACAATACTGAACCATTATATTGTTAACATTGATGTTTTTAAATATTAATAAATATCTTGAAGGATTATTGTTTACTAAAGTTAAAAAAAGTTATTTCTGAGGCATATATATATATAAATAAAACAAAACACGAAGACTAGTATAATTCTGTGAGGTTTGATGTCTTTTAGACATGTTGTAGTGTTAGAAAAGAGTTCTTTTTATTGATTTGAAAAACATTGTCTTTATAATTGGAGTTTAACCTCAAAAAGTGATCAATTAATAGTGGAAATCCGAATAAAATAGAATTAAACCATGCTGTAGTGAGGTTTTAATGCCATACAAGAGTACAGTTGTTTCCCTTGGGTATGCCAGATTGAATTAAATCAGAAAGGACGGACATGAACTGTGGAAAAAACAAAAGGTGTATTGGAATGTGATTATCTGACCTAGGATTGTATATCTTTACTGGGGATTCCTAGGATTTCTGCTCATACTGAGTAGTTGTGTACTCAATGAAGAAAGACTTAATTTAATAGAAAAGCAACCTTTATACACCTAAAAACTGGAAGTAAATGTATATAGATAGGTGGTAGTTATAGGTGGTAGTTATAGATAGGTGGTAGTTATAGGTGGTAATTATAGATAGGTGGTAGTTATAGGTGGTAAGTTATAGGTGGTTATAGGTGGTAGTTATAGATAGGTGGTAGTTATAGGTGGTAGTTATAGATAGGTGGTAGTTAAAGATAGGTGGTAGTTATAGGTGGTAGTTATAGATAGGTGGTAGTTATAGGTGGTAGTTATAGATAGGTGGTAGTTATAGGTGGTAAGTTATAGGTGGTTATAGGTGGTAGTTATAGATAGGTGGTAGTTATAGGTGGTAGTTATAGATAGGTGGTAGTTAAAGATAGGTGGTAGTTATAGGTGGTAGTTATAGATAGGTGGTAGTTATAGGTGGTAGTTATAGATAGGTGGTAGTTATAGGTGGTAAGTTATAGGTGGTTATAGGTGGTAGTTATAGATAGGTGGTAGTTATAGGTGGTAGTTATAGATAGGTGGTAGTTAAAGATAGGTGGTAGTTATAGGTGGTAGTTATATATATAGATAGGTGGTAGTTATAGGTGGTAGTTATAGATAGGTGGTAGTTATAGGTGGTAAGTTATAGGTGGTAGTTATAGGTGGTAAGTTATAGGTGGTAAGTTATAGGTGGTTATAGGTGGTAGTTATAGATAGGTGGTAGTTATAGGTGGTAGTTATATATATAGATAGGTGGTAGTTATATGTGGTAGTTATAGATAGGTGGTAGTTATAGGTGGTAGTTATAGGTGGTAGTTTTAGGCAGCTGGTAGTAATAGTGTTGTTGTTTTTGAAGTTGATTAAATATGTTGTATTTTGAAGTGTTGTTTGTGACATTTATACTTCTTAGTGGACCATTATCTGACTTGCCTTACTGAATTCATGAGAAAATTTCACTGTTTACTTGCAGTAGATCCTAGGATTGCTTTTTGGAAATTGAATTTTCCCAATGTAGAATATTAAACAGTCGTTTTCTGAGAATAGTGCAGTAAATGGTTTATAACTATTGATTGAGAAATATAACTTGAAACAGTTATGGTTGGCAGTTGTGGAGACAGGTTACTGTACAGACATGTTAGCTACAGACCAAGCATTTCCATTCCTTAATGAAACACTAATTAATCTGCTGCCTTACTGCACCATCACTTCCAAGTTTTAATAGGTTTCAAAGGAAGTTTTGCACCATTAACCCTGATACTCCCTGTTAGAGGTTCAGTGAAACAATCCATAAATATGGACTTTGACTTCGAAAAGTTCATTGTGAGGGGTAGAAGCATTAATACAGATACATTTGTTTTCACTTGAACTTTCAATTTATACAATTTACTTGTGATGCATATCGTTGTTTCTCCGTGTCTGGGGACGGGAGTATTGAAATAATTCAATGTAAAAGCCATTCTACAACCTATCGATCTCGACAAGATCCCAAACATGTACCAACATAAAATTTCTACACACACTAAGTTGGCATCCATATATACTGAGCTGTTGATCTTTGTAGTTGACTTAAGTTTATACCCACGACACTAGGTTGATGTAAAAACCGTCAACACATACTTAGATGCCATCTACATGCACAACATACAATCTTTGAAAATTTGACTTAAGTTTATACAAAGGTGTTGTACTAGGAGGGCACATAACTTATAGGTCTATGTTCAGAGCCTGACAAAAGATTGATATTAAAAACATCAACACAGACCTAAATGCCTTTTATATACATAACCTTGTAAGAGATTACATAACTTAAAGGCCATGCAATGCTTGGGTTTCATTCTTTCACAGTAAATAAAACAAACTTTAAAAAAAATGAATTGAAAGATCATTTAAAAGGGGAATTCTGAAATAGGAACGAAGGTCCTATACACGTTAATGATGATAAGGATACAAGTTGATGTTAATGCTGAATGACTTGGAGTAAATGTATAAATGACATGACTGAGGAAATGTGTAAGTGCTGTACTGGTTGTTTTTATTGAAAGGTCACTGGTGACTATTTAATAAATACCAGCATACTAGCTGTGTGCTGTATGTCACTATGTGATGACAACCACTGGCTCTCGGACAGGATGTTGTTTTCTTGAATTTATTTGTACGCAAATAAATGTGTTCACAATATGTAAGTAATTGTAACAGTCTTACTAAAACTGTCCAAGAGGACGATAGGTTTGCAATCCATCCATCAGTTTGTGCGTCATTTTGTGTAGGACACCTATCAAAAACTATAGTGATATACAGAGTTAGGGCCCTTTCATATATCCTGTCATCAACAACTGACATAGGGATAGTGGATTGTCACACGTCATAACTGGTTCCCGTGCCCCATTTATACAGATCAAAGATTGACCGAAGGTGGAGAAAGATTTGAAATGCTCCCAATACTTTGGCCTTGTTATATATCTAAAATATCGGATGGGCTGTCATTGTTTGTACTATAAATAATCGCCACACTATGAAAATATTTTTGTCCTGAACCCTTATTATCAAGTGTTGCTAATGTGAGTTTAAGAAATGTGATGATATCAATTGTTTCTAAGGGTTGCCCAGTTCTCAGCTGTGTCCCATGGTTGTCTGACTGGAGCTGACTTTCAGGTGTCATACAGGGCTGCTACGTACATTTACCTGGGGTTGGCTAACCTGTTTTGTGTGATGTTCAGCCCAAGTTCTTCATATGTTACAGTGGTTGCCAATTCTCCCCCCTTCACCCTATCACAGGCTTGTGTTCATGTGTGTCAATGTGGACTTGTACTGGGTACTGTGGTCTTCTGTGGCAGGTGGTCTTCATCACTGTGTACTGTGTGACTAGACAAACACTCCGCTGCACTCATACTGTGATAGTTATAGTTTAGTATAGCCTTAGTATAGCCATAGGCCTTTGAATGGGTTCAAGGTGATGGTCACTTGTTGTGGGGAATTAGCAAAAGGTCAGGGTCATATGGATGTGTTGTAATATCAAGGGAACAAGTTGTATGCAGTTTTCCAACATGAAGAAAGGAAAGAACAGTTCATTTTATTTTGATGTCTTTTGTCTTTATTGCACTAACCTTGTTTAATATTAAGTATGTAGGTCTTGTTCACTTAAGATACATTTGATAATAATGTTGCCCTCTTGTGATATGTTGTAAATTCTGCAAAAAAAAATCCAATATATTTGTATGTTTCATTTATGTTATAGATAAGTAATCAAAAACCAAGAAAATAAATACATGTTTCATAAATGTAATAGGTAATTAACCAATAACTAAGGAATAAAGAAATATCAATAACTTAATTAATAATAAAAAGGCCAACATAAAATAAATATGTATATATGCCTCATTGTAATAACTAATAACCACAAATAACTATATGGTAATAGAAAATAGCTTTAATATAAAGACAGTGTCATTTTACATAATGGTTGAAATAATGAAAGTTTAATATATGTGTATTTGGTTAATCAACATGTTTAGCATTATAAAACAGGACCTTTGTAAGATCTGTATATAGGACTGTCCTGTGATGATATATAGGGTAATTGTAAGATAATTGGACAGTGCCGAGAGCCTCTTGTTTATGTATGTATCAACTGACAATGCTGTAGCAGCACCTCTGGCATGGTCTCTCTATCCTGGTGACCTTTCTGTGACCTTGCTGTTGCTAGGAGATACATCACACTTACAGTGACCCCTGGTAGCCCAGGATTTTCACATGAATGAATTTGATAACATATTGGAAAGTTTGGATTTTGACGATCACTTTTTGCCAACATTTAGATTCAGTATTATTTTACTTTTATATCATTTTATGATGAATTTATATATACTTCATCTGTCTATCACAGCTAACATGATTATAAACTTATGTTATAAGATTATTTGAAGACTGTTTTCCAATTATAATTTTGCTAGGGTGATGATAATGGTCAACCAAGCAAAGTTTTTGGGTGGGGAGAAGGAATCGAATAAGAACAAAAAAAACAACAGTTATCAAATTTCCTGTGATTGCGTTAAAAAGGTAATTCCAAGGTCATTTAAAGGTTACCAGGTCATAGGTTTGACCTCTAGCAGTGTGGCTGTGTCATTCGATGTAATGTATGTTGCACACGCTGATTAATGATGACAATATGTCCTGATGTATTTTTTTGTGACACATTCGCCTCCCTTATCTATCTCATGTGCGCCCTTCCACCCGACTTGCTGGTCAACCGACATTGAAAATGATCCGACTACACTATTGGCTGTATCATTAAATCTGAATATGAATGAACGATGTTTGGGGTGTCTTCCGTGCTGCCTTCCTGCCACCCTTTCCACTACGATGTTTTGCTGTTGGGTGATCGCTGGGGTGCTGCCACCTGTTGGGTGTGGTGTTGATGGAACAGGATGAAAGTGAGGCTGGTCCGAGAGTTGTGGACGATGAGGAAGGCCATCTGATCTATCAGCCGGGCGATGTCCTTCAAGCACGATGTACACCTCTTTTCGTAATGTTTAGCCTAGACTATATCTTGCATCATGTGCCCCATATTTTGTGTATTATTCCTTCGATTGACCTTCAATGTTCAAAACATTTTGACCTGATTTGGTCGCTACGATGTTGAATCACAATCGAAGGGGTAACAACGCTAAAGATGATCATGTATCCCTTGGGCAGATGGTACAGAGAATCACCCCCTTTTTCATTAATCAAGAACCGTAAAACACAGGGGTATTGGGCTTACTGATTTATATGAGAGAATTACAACTATGCTTCCCAGATATGGAATTAATATTGACCTTTTCCCATATATCCCATATATATCAGTGATTATTGTAGAATATTACATGTATTGTTATTGCAATTTAGAGGTTGTTGCATATGATGAGTTATCTCCCTTAATGCAATGGCGACCATCTGGATATTATTGCAGCCAAACATGCCATACTTCTATATATATTTCTTTATCACATATAGCATATAGATGCTCTCTTGTTCATTTTGAAATGTTTTATTTACAGAAAATTAAGCAAAATGGTAACACATGTCCAGGGAAAAAAACTTTCGCTTTTATAATTGATTTCCTACCTTTAACTCTTTTATCAAAATTCTAGCCCAATCACCATGAGCTGGAAGCAATTTCGCGGGATAATATTGTGAATGCTTCCCAAAATAATGGCAGCATTGCTCATAGTAGTCATTACCTTGGCAACTTTCCAGGGACTTTAAATTAACCTAGTCTGGTCAAAATGTTCGGGTTCTTTTCCATTTTGCTGTTTTTCTATGTGAATCGCCCATCATATACATGTGAATTTACTGTTGTGGTTGTTTTGTTTGCAGATGAAATTGTTTCCACCCTAGGGGAGGGTACATTTGGAAAGGTGGTGGAGGTCAAGGACATGCAAAGGTAGGTGAAGGTCATTTGCATACATTGAAATAACATTTTCCATAACAAGCGATCTTAGTACTACTCCACTGCTAAACAAAGACAAGTTAACATCATCATCCTTCAATGCAAAGTTGTTGTCACATAAAGGATTTTTTTCAGCACATGCATCCAGAAAGATAGAGGATGTATTCAAATAATATAGTGTGTATTCTGAAGAATCTCCTTACCATTGGGCAGAGTGCCTTTTTCACATAGGTCTCATCTAAGTGGTCTGCAGAAAGGATTGATATATTTAGTGTTATAAAAAATTAAAACCCTACAAAATTGATACATGGGAAAAAAAGCGAAATTTTGACACTGCAGGTTTAAATGCTACACAATATTTCTTTTGATTTTAGCTAGAAAATTTAATACAGTATTTGTAAGAAAATATATTTAAATGTGTTAAAAAATACTGACCATAGTAGAATGGATAGTTATGGAAACCATTGAAAAAACAATGAGATCAATAATGTCTGTTAGGGTATTTACATTAGTGGTCATGGCTAGCTCCTGTCAGAATTCATTAGACACACATAAACATTTGAAAGTCAAATATAGCTCCATAGATAGTTATGATTTCCATGGAGTTATTCTGGGATACGTATCGAGGAAGATATAGTTGATGGCGGAAAGAAGGTGCCAATCTTGGAAAATCGTAACCAGCTTTACCCAGGAGACGGTGATGGTGGTAGAATGTTGGTTCAATATCATCTTCAAACATTTTTAAATAGCAGTATAGGCCATTGAGTCGAACGGAGAAAACTGGTGTAAATTACCCAATAGCACTCCTGTTGCCACGTTTGTTGTGCTGATGGAGTAAGGGTTATGTGAGACATTGACGTGGGCGGATTTCTTATGTCGGAATGACTTGTTCAGATCCCCAGAGAATCCTGACAAATGGAAGATCAGTTACAGCGTTTATGGTGCATAGTTGAGGAATTGAAACCGTGCCAGCAAGTTAAAGACTAAATTTCTTGTTTATAGCTGGTGTAGAAGTCTAGAGGGATATTTACGAAGTTTAATGCTAGAAGTCTGAATCTCAACAAGTTTAATTTTGGCTAAATCGTGCATGTTGCAAGATATGATATCGGTGATGTTGGGTGATAATGCTGGGCGGTGGTGCTGGGCAAAGACCACTGATGTGAATGTTGATATTGTATCAATAAAACCAATTTAATGCACTGGTAATGTCCATTGGTTTATTCTGCTGAATATTTTTAATATTTCCGGTAAATCTAATCTCCCTACTCATTCATGAACAAATCAAAAGAAACAGAAAAATTACCCATTCGTAAAATTTTGATTAAAAAGATCCGTCCATTTTCGATTAGAAGTTTTAGCTAATTTCTGTGTAAATACATGGAGAGAACAAGTTCCTGAGGAATGTGACCTTGTGCATGGCCAATTAAGATGTTGGTAGGGAGGGGGTGAAGTAGAGGTTTGTGTGGATAGTAGTGACTCACAGATATTTCTCAGACAGACCAGATCTAGATTACAGATCACATGCTGTAACTTACACATAATGAAGGAGGTGAAATCTGGACTGGTCTTACTGAAGTATACCTAACTACCTTATGTTAGAATTAATATGTTTTGGGGGTTAGGGTCTGTGGGACAGAGGAAATCTATGCTTAAATTGCATGGTTTTAGGTTTTGGACTAAATAGGTGTCCAAGTGTTTTTGTGTGCATGGTTTTGGACTAGTTTTTGAGAAGTTGGAGAGGATTGGGAGTGGGGCAATGACTTTGATTTCTTGTACATGTTTTGGACTAGGTTGGGGGGG